TCCCTTCCTCTTCTCCTACTAAACATTCAGATCCTTCCCGAACTGCAAGCATCAGGTTGTTTGTGTCAAGATTGATTTATCCGTGTCTTTTCATCTACATCCTGTGTTTCTTCTGATGGTTAGCGTGGTGCGCTACGTTGTGTTATGCTAATGGTTTCAGGCCCGGGGTTGCTGCTAATGACATGGTTGTAATTGTTTGTCAGTGTGATAATGTGTGATTTCCTATTTCCACGTGAAGTTGGACATTTGATGAAGGAGGGATGTTGTCAGGAAGACAAAGTGCTGTCATTTGTCACCGGCTAAATGAGCTCCTCTTGGCTTTCAATAGCAATGTAATATTCACACATCTCCTTTCCTTCGTTTCTGGGCTGTTGCCATGATGTCCACATCCTTCAGAGCATCAATGAGATAGAGGTTGGGTTCTGTGCTGACGTTTAGAAATCTGTTAACTGTATTTCACCGAAACACAGAAGTGAAAATACAGAGTGTGGTAATCTTTTATTCTTAGTGTTTGCTCGGAGTCGTCACTTCCTTAAACATTTTCAAACCATTTCATCATCTTCACAGCAGTGGTGTAGTAGTGTAAGTATATTAACTCAAGTACTGTACCAAAGTACAATTTTGAGATACTTCACATGAATATTTTGATTTCATGATACTTTATACTTATTTTCCACTACATTTTTAAGAAATCAATGTTTCCCTTTTTACTTCACTACCATTAAAACTGCCCTATTATGCTCCTTTCCGGGTTCATATTTATATGTTGTGCCACACTGTGACATGTCTACTTATTTTAATGTTAATTTTTTATTTATTTGTCTCATCCTGCCTGTGCTGCAGCACCCCTTTTCACCCTCTGTCTGAAACCAGAGCCCAGTCTGCTCTGATTGGTAAAGGAATGAATGAATCTAGAAATGTAAAATATGTGATTCTCAAAATAAGCCATTAGGGATAGCAAGTACTTGTGTACTTTTATGTAAGTAATATTTACTTTTAAGTATGTACTTCTTCCTCCGTTCTCAAAGAGAAGACTGTGTCCCTATGTACACTGAGGATTTGAAATAGCTTCTGCATTTTGTAATATGACAAACTCATGAGGCACATAATTGCAGCCATTGTAGCAGAGGATTGTTGGCCTGCCTTCATACTTTCCAAAGTCTTTGAAGTACTCGCCCCCTGAACAGACTGCTTCTGTTTCTGATTAGTCTGATCCCATATTGTGGGGTTGGGGGGGCAGATCCCTGCTAGTTAACAATGTAATGAGCTAAACAAGCCAAACAAAGGAGAGGTAGAGTGGATGGGTCTCCAGAGGGAGCTACTTGTTGTCCCATTGCCCCTCTTGTCTTCCGTATCGATTCATGTCTTCCTTCCTCACGCTGCGTCCTCTATAGCACACGCAGGGCGGGGTAATCAGCTAAATGTAGCCTCTGCTTTCTTATTACTACCTGGGTGCTTAACACTGATATTTCTCCCCCCTCTTCAAGGACAAACGGTGTAGAAGGCAGATCCCGTGTGAAGTCCCCGAGCTCTCGCCGAGCAGCAGATCCCTTTTCAGTGCCAGCTGTTCTCTCAGATACACCCGGCCGTTCTGAAATTCTCTTAATATAATTCTGGGGGGGGGGGAGGCTCAGGAGAATTGTGCAAAACAAGCGTGCCAGCCTGGAGAACGTTGCATTTTTCATCAGCGGCCTCAANCCTGGTCGCAACGTCAGCCCTTCTTTTTCGTTACACGTGGAGGGACGATAAAAGGAAGACCGTTTAGTTTGTGTGTAGTCGGGGC